GGGAGACAGAGAATGAGGAAGTTGGGGAAAAGGGGATTTACGAAGAAGATGTCCAATTCCAAGAGGTCGCCGTATTTGTTTGTGAGGCCTGGGGCTGTTCGCGGCAAGCATGGTCTGGGTTTCAAGCACAGTTTCTGATCGGCTTCACTTCAAGATTTGGTTAGAGTTATTGACACGGTACTTCTTAGAATGTTCATATAATATGGATTTTTAGATGTGGTGCTGTGATTGGAGCATTGAACTATGTTTAGGTTATTAGATTGGGGGGTTGGTTCGTCTGAGACCAATCTTCTTTAATTGTTTCTTGATATGTCCTTTGGAGTAGAACTATGTAAATAAATTTCTAGAGTTGCAAATATGATGATCTTTGTTTCTTTGCTTTTCTTTTTCTTTTTCTTTTTTTTTCTTTTTTGGAATTTGGGTGTCTCTTTGATTGTTGATATAATCTGTTTTCTTATATTCTTTTTAGATGTGTATGCGTTTTGATTGGGTTGTGTGAGACCAATCTTCATTTTACTGCTTGTTTATATCCTTAGAATTTTGTAAGTCTTTACATGGCAGCATATAAAACAATGATCTTCATTTTTTCATTTTTTTGTCTTTTACTTGGTTTTGATTGAGTGTGAAGAAGTATAGGAAGAATGGTATGGAGATGGGAAATGGAAGAATGGAAGAATGGAAGGCTAAAATGAAAACGGTTTTGATAGTGTTAAAAAAACTGGCGTATAGGAATAGCATACTTGTTCTTCAGTTCGATCATTATGGTAGTGATTATCCGTTATAATTCCTCTATAATCTAATCTTTGGTTCTCTTGGACTTGGGACTATTGTTATGCATGGTGCAAAACTATTTTTGTTGTAGAGGATATTGCCAAAGCCTAGTCAATGTCTCAATTTTGGTTCTTGATTTTGAATGTTGGACTTGTGTATCTCTTAAAAGAGTGTTCTTCGCTATTAGATGGGTTTTGCTCGGCTTTACCAAAAATAAGAATGTCCTGTCCTAGGCACAATAATAATCACGAAAAACTAGGCTTACCTATCTCACATAAGTACATAACTGTATAACCATATCTAACTTGTTCTCTGGAGATGCCTGTCGGGACTTCCTTCTTGATCTCTATGGTTTCCTTTTACTTGGGATTTTTCTGTTTATCTACGTTGAGTAACAATTTATGTTTGTTTTACCTCTCATTCAATGTGTTGCTCATATGTTGATATGTTTCAGGATTTATTACTTCTATGAAGTTGGCCGAGATGATCAGCATGTAGCACTGGTTGCTGCTGTTAATAGTGGGAAGGTTTGTATTCATCGTTCATGTGCATTGTAGTGTAGAAACACTAGTCAATTTTCTGCCAACATTAGATTAGGTTGACTTGTATTCTATGGTTCTTGTCAAGAACACTGGATAAACCAGTCTATAACAAGCATATATGCTAAAAGTTTTTACTAAATCCTTGTGCTAAAATGGCAAGATCCTGCCTCCTAGATCACAATCTGTCCTTTCCAAATTTAGTCTAATGTATCTAGTTGTCCCCTTGATCCGTGTGTGTAATAAAGTAATCATTTCTACTTGTTTTTTGTGAAGGCAATTATTGCCGGAGCAACTGCCCCGCAGTCCAAATGGGATGATGACGGCATGAAGCTTCGTTCTGCTGCCAACATTGATGTTTGTTTGTTTGTTCACTGAGGAGAGTGATGTTTGTAATATAATTTTTACATGTCACCCATTTATGTGTTTTTATTTCAATAGGTAAATATTATTTGGTTGATGTGGAATATCCACAATTAAAAGGATTTTTTAGACCATATAAAGGAAAAAGATACCATTTATCACAATTTCGAGTGGGTCGTCGACCATATAATGCTCTTCTATGCATGTGCCGAGAACATGACAACTGCTAAGACCATGTGGATTTATCACCATTTTGTGGAGTTCGAAAGTCTCAAAGTCAGTGTTAAGTGACAAGTAATCTAGTCAGTAATATATGCAGTTTGCCTCATTTGCTCTTTTACGTCGTTGACATGGCCTCAAGTCTCATACTCTTTGAGGTGGATCCAGATGGTATCGTTTATAAAGACAATTAACTTGAGGATAATGTAGAAGAAAATCAAAATACTAATTTTTTATTATCACAAGAAATAGATGAAGTATGAGATCAAATTGCGACAAGTTGATTACTCACTAATGCTCCTTTTAGTTGTAACTATACTGTGAATAAAGAAATGAAAAAAAATTAATTATCATAAATTTATTGTTAAAAAACTCAAAATCATAGCATTATGTTTTTTTTTTAAGTTAAACAAGTATTTTTAAATACAAAAAATAATTATCTATATTTAAGTTTCATACCATGTCTATTTTAGTCATTTTACATACTCACAGTAATTCAACATCAAAATTTACCAAATGATATTACACTGATTTTGAAACCAGCACAGCTACTATAATTACAGTTTACCAAACACTCAGCTGCTTCTTGTAACAGTTGCTTCTTCCTTCAGCACAGCTAAAAACAATTTTTCTAAAATCTACAGCACTACCAAACTAAGCCTAAGCCTTTAGGCTGCTTCTGATTTTGTCTGTAGATTCTTAAAAAATTCTTTAAAAAACACTTTTGAGGAGATTTACCAAACACTAAAATCAGTTTCTGCTACAAGTAGATGTTGATTTTGAGAGAAAAAAATTATAACAGTTACTTCTTTTTTCAACACAACTAAAAATAATTTTTCTAAAATCCGCGGCGCTACCAAACTAAGCTACCGTACCAAACTAAGCCATTGTGCGATTCCATTAGTGGCCTAGAGATTCGTGCCATTCTTTGATGTTAATTTCGTTGCTTTCATATTACTATACACGCACGGATTTCAACGATTGATTGTGTGGCATAGTAAATCGTTTCACCAAGGGTGGTTAATTGAAGATATGCACAGATTTTGACTGATTGAAGAAAATAAAAAAGGGTGGAATTTGGTGGAATACGGTTTTGGGATTATATGTTTTGTTAGGATTTTATCTATTGTTTATACGAATTTAGATGGAATTTGGAGAATTGGAATCTCGCACGGCAAGAAGAAGGGATGGAAAAGAAGAAGGAAAAAAAAAGAAAAAAAGAAAAAAAAAGAGATGTAATGTCAGTTTTATTATAATTGTAAAAAAACCCTAATTCCTTTAATAAACTAATAAAGAGGAGTTTATATACAGTATAATAATAAAAGACTAATTTATCCTTGTTAATAAAAATAAATAACCAATCATAATCCTAAAATAAAGATAAATATCGTTAATATCTCCTTACAAATTCATAATGCGACTGCAAGAAATATCAAGAGTTTGCCAATTGAAAAATAAAAAAAAAACTAAAAAACAAAAATACGACTTCATAAACAATTATGCAACTTTATACGTATGTCGATGCCGATGCCGATATCGATGCCAATGTCCAACATTGGCCAATCAAAGAAGAGAGAGAATACAAAAGAGGTGGACAATGCAACCAATCAAAGAAGAAAGGGAGAGTGTAATGCCAATACCCAATACAGGTCAATCAAAGGAATAGGAAAAATAATGCAAATATCACTACGCAATATGATAGTGCCATAGTCCAAACAAAAGCAAAAACGGAAGTGAAAAAACGATTGTACGACCACCGATTGTAAACTATTAATTAGACTCAATCAAATTATATGAACTCCAAGACGCCCGTCTCTATTTAATTTTTTCTAGTTTTGTTTTTTGTTTTTCAACTGGCAAACTCTTGATGTTTCTTGCAGTCGCATCATGAGTTTGAGAGGGGATGTTAACGATATTTATCTTTATTTTAAGGTTAGAATTAGTTATTTGGTTATTTAGTTATTTCTCTTTATTATTAAGGGTAAATTAGTCTTCTATTATTATGATTGTAGGGTTATAGAAACTCCTCTTTGTTACTTTATTAAAGGAATTATATTTTCTCTGCAATTGCAATAGAAGTTTAACATGACCCCTCTCTTTTCTTTTATTTTCTCTTTCTATTTTGCATTGAGTAATTCTCACACGATTTATATATATATTTTTAAATATGTCACATTTAAATACTTTTTTTTACGGTTATTTAAAATATTACTTTTTCTTAATTATTTTGTTAAATTAATTTACTCTTAAATGTATCCCTACGTAGCATCTTTCGCTTGTGATCCTCATAAATTTCGTTTTAGTTGTGAAACATTTCGCACAATTTTTTTTTAGTTTTTTCATCTTGTATTTTGCTTCAGCTCTTTTTTCTCACTTTTATTTTTATTTTTTTCTCTTTTTTTAAAAGATTTGTACTACTATTGTTTAAATTACTCACGGGCTCAAGTTTTTTATTAATATATATGGGTGAGATTTTAATTGTTATTACAATGTAATAAATTAAATAATTGACTAAAAAATATTATAATAATTAATAAAATTAGATTCTTATCACGTCACATTATCAATTTTTTTCGTGTGAAATTACTATAAAAATCTCCCACAAATATAAAAGAAAACATGTATTTCCCGTTTAAAAAATAGAAAGTTATTATTAGTTTTCTTTCAACGCCAAGCAAATCCATGTAGAGTAACAACAAACAATCCAATCTAATCAATGTCTTTTTTATTTCACCGATTTGAGCTTAAAATTTAAGTTTTATTACAATAAAAAATTTTTAAAATCAGTTACATTTAACTTTTTTATTACATTAAAAAGTTCTTAAAAACAATTAGATTAATTTTTTTATTACAGTAAAAATTTATCATATAAAGTCACATCTCAACTCGAAGAAGTAATATCAGCTTTGCAATTTAACGGCCATGTACAAAAAGGATATTCCCGTAATTTCATAGCAAGAAAGAACGCAATGTTGCTTAATACCGAGAGTGTACCAAACGTGTTCGCTCGAGAGCCAGCGTGTGCTTATAAATACAAAACCAAAACGCATAAAACCAACCCAAAAACCAAGAATAAAATAAATAAATAAAAACCATTTTCACCATTTTTTTTGGCGATTGCTTTCTTCTTCCTCCTCTCAGGTGCCCAGACCCTTCTCTCAATCTTCTTCTTCTTCTCCTTCTTCTCTTTTCCTTCCATGGCTTTTTAAGATTTCTCTTTGCGTTTTTGTTTTTGGATTTGTTTGATGCGTTTTTGTTTGTTGTTGTATATGGAGATATGACTGAAAATCTGACCGGATTTGTTTGTGCGTTTCAGGCTTTTTTTTTTGGTTTCTAGGTTTTTCGGTTTTTAGATTTGTTTGATCTTTCAATGTTGATATTGAATTTCTGAACGCGAATTTGGCTTATCTATGCGCTTTGTTGTTGGTGTTCGGAAGTTTGTGAAGAAGATAAGGAATTTGGAGATGTTGCGTTTGTAATTCGTGGTGCGTTTCATGATTTATGTGATGGGTTTTGATTTGTTTTCCGCTGTGAATTGTATTGTAATTTGAATAATTTGTAGGAAAAGGAATCTGTGTATGTTTTATTTTATTTTATTTTTTGGGCCTTAGAGAACGAGAAAAAAAAAAAAGAAGCTAAAATTGATCATCAGTTAACGTACTATTTGCTTTGTCAGATTGAGATTCTTGTCTTACCCCATTAAAGTAGAGCCTTAGCAACGAACACAGAGGAACTTTGAAATCTGTTTTTCCTTTTTTTTTTTTTTTTTTGAAATTGGTTTCTGAATTTAAAACTGGATTTTATGAACGGATTTTTGTTGGTGAATCCGCTAATCTTGACATTATGAATTTTGAGTGAAAATTGATGCATGAATTTTGATCATTGCTAGGAACAGATGGTTAGGGGAGGGAAGGTCAGCTCCAAGCGTAAATTTAGGAAATGGGATAGGTATAATGATAAAGCTTCTGATGATTCAGACGAAGATTATGTAGTCTCTGATGAAGAGAATGAGGTCTCTGATTACTCGGACGAGGATTATTGTTCTTCTGTAGATGGACATGCATCAGAAGAGAGTTTTGGTAGTTTTGTTGAGGAAGAGGAAGAGGAGGAGGAGGAGGAGGGGACAAGGAAAAGGGTGAAGAAGGTCGGTAGATCAAAACCCAAAAAGCGCGCGAGAAGGTTTATTGTGGAAGAAGAGGATGAGGATGAGCAGGAGGAGGAGGAAGAAGTGGGGGATGAGGATCGGGATGAAGATGAAGAAATGAATGAGGTCAAGACGACAGCTAGATCAAAAGTGCAGAGCGGTTTTTCAAGACCACAAAAGAATGGGGTTAAACCATCACAAAAGAGAAGAGTAACGTACAAAGAAGACGAAGTTGATGATGATGATGATGAGCTCACGCCAAATAATGATGAAGAAGATGAAGAAATGAATGAGGTCAAGACGACAGCTAGATCAAAAGTGCAAAGGGCTTTTTCAAGACCACAAAAGAATGGGGTTAAACCATCACAAAAGAGAAGAGTAACGTACAAAGAAGACGAAGTTGATGATGATGATGATGATGATGAGTTCACGCCAAATAATGGTGAAGAAGATGAAGAAGATGATGTTGAAGATGGAGAAATGAATGAGGTCAAGACGACAGCTAGATCAAAAGGGCAGATGGGTTTTTCAAGACCACAAAAGAATGGGGTTAAACCATCACAAAAGAGAAGAATCATGTTCAAAGAAGACGAAGTTGATGATGATGATGATGAGTTCACGCCAAATAATGATGAAGAAGGTGAAGAAGATGAGGTTGAAGATGAAGAAATGAATGAAGTCAAGACGACAGCTAGATCAAAAGTGCAGAGGGGTTTTTCAAGACCACAAAAGAATGGGGTTAAACCATCACAAAAGAGAAGAATCACGTTCAAAGAAGACGAAGTTGATGATGATGATGATGAGTTCACGCCAAATAATGATGAAGAAGATGAGGTTGAAGATGAAGAAATGAATGAGGTCAAGACGACAGCTAGATCAAAAGTGCAGAGGGGTTTTTCAAGACCACAAAAGAATGGGGTTAAACCATCACAAAAGAGAAGAGTCACGTACAAAGAAGACGAAGTTGATGATGATGACGATGAGTTCACGCCAAATAATGATGAAGATGAAGAAGATGAGGTTGAAGATGAAGAAATGAATGAGGTGAAGATGACAGCTAGATCAAAAGTGCAGATGGGTTTTTCAAGACCACAAAAGAATGGGGTTAAACCATCACAAAAGAGAAGAATCACGTTCAAAGAAGACGAAGTTGATGATGATGATGATGAGTTCACGCCAAATAATGATGAAGAAGATGAGGTTGAAGATGAAGAAATGAATGAAGTCAAGACGACAGCTAGATCAAAAGTGCAGAGGGGTTTTTCAAGACCACAAAAGAATGGGGTTAAACCATCACAAAAGAGAAGAGTCACATACAAAGAAGACGAAGTTGATGGTGATGATGATGAGTTCACGCCAAACAATGATGAAGAAGATGAGGTTGAAGATGAAGAAATGAATGAGGTCAAGACGACAGCTAGATCAAAAGTGCAGAGGGGTTTTTCAAGACCACAAAAGAATGGGGTTAAACCATCACAAAAGAGAAGAGTCACGTACAAAGAAGACGGAGTTGATGATGAGGATGATGATGAGTTCACGCCAAATAATGATGAAGAAGATGAGGAATTCACACCAGATGATGATGATTGTTCGGATGAAGAAGAATCAAGGGCGAAAAAGAAGAAAAACAATGCGAAAGCAGGCAAGCGGGTTTTGCAGAAAAAGGGTCCTGCAGGAGGCCGTAAAAGGAGAAGGAAATCTATGGCTTCAAAGAAGCCTTTAAGAAAGACACGTGGATTCAGAAGGAAAGTAAGGTCTGATGGTGATGATGATGGTGATTTCATGGATAATGGCTTGGCTTTGAGAGACAAAGGTGAGATGAGAAGGGCTTGGAAAAGGAGGCTGTATACTGTGCCCTCAGATTCAGATTTTGCCTCGGCTGGATCTTCTGAGTACAAGTACACCATATCCGAGGAAGAGAGAGAGCAAGTGAGAGAAGCTAGGGAGTACTGTGGAAAGTTGAAAACTAATTTGAGAAGTTCATCAGCGTCTAATAAAATTCAGGAGGATGTGGTTTTGCAGCCAGGAAGAAAACCTACGGGGAGGAAGGGTAAGGAGAAGGTAGAGGAGGTAAAAGCTGAGGTTGTAAGGCAGGTCTGCGGGATTTGTCTTTCTGAGGAAGATAAAAGAAAAGTGAGGGGAACACTGAATTGCTGCACTCATTATTTCTGTTTTCCCTGCATCATGGAATGGGCAAAAGTGGAATCACGTTGTCCTCTGTGCAAGCAGAGGTTTAACACAATTAGTAAAACTGCAAGAAATACAGCAGGAATTGATTTGAGGGAGATGGCGATACAAGTCCCTGAGCGTGATCAGGTATGAATCAATTCCATGCCATGTTCAGTTTAACATCACCTTCGTTTTGTGTTGTGGGTTTAGCATTATCTAATTCAAAATATGTTTTAAAATGAGTTTATTTTTGCATACAGGTATATCAGCCATCAGAGGAAGAACTCAGGAGCTATATTGATCCTTATGAGAACGTGATTTGTACAGAATGCCATGAAGGTGGGGATGATGGCCTCATGTTACTATGCGATCTTTGTGATTCGCCCGCGCACACCTATTGTGTTGGCCTTGGGCGAGAAGTACCTGAAGGTAATTGGTATTGTGACGGTTGTAGACCTGTTGCTACTGGATCCTCAAGTTCCCCTGCTCAGACTCGTTTGTCTGACCAGAGAACAACAAGCAGCACCGTGTCTGATAGAGCATCAACCGTCACTAACTATTTCATTGAAGGTTTAGACCTTAATTCAGTTTATTCACAAGGATTTGGGAGTCTTTCATCTCCGAGGTATCATTTTGGAGGTTTTCAAGTGACCTCACCATTACCTGGAGCCGGGGCACCAACACTATTCGGGAGAAGGTTAATACACCGCCATATCCAACAGCTCCTTTCTGTAAATAGAATGGGTCATATGGCTGACAGACATGAGGGAAACTCAGGTGCTAATTTGATTAGTGATCTGAATTCTCCACTTGATCAGGGGAGGGAAACACCACGTCAACGTGCAAGTACACAAGAAATGGGAGTAGTTCATGCTTTCTTTCGGGAAAGATTACGTGAAAATCTCTCAACACCAGTGCAAGATACCGATTTGTTTTCTCCAAGAATAAGCCAAGTGAGAAGGCAAATGGGGGGGCAGGATCCGCTTACTGCCTCTGCTGGTGGACCTTCCAATGGTTCACTATGGCCTGGACTTGTAGAGAGGAGTTCACCATTGAATTTTGAGCAGCAGTTGTGTCAGTGCAACGGTGGACCAAACAATGGCCGTGACAGGGGTGAGACTGATTTACACACTGCAAAGGAAGAACTGCATTCGATGATCAAACTCCATTTGAAGAACTTGTTGCGAGACAGTAATTTAGGTATGTAAATTTGCATTGTTGTTAGAAACATCCTATTGGTGTTCATGGCTTTTCTTGTTAGATTGCGCCATGTAGTTTTTTAACCAATTCTCAGTATGGAATGTGGCATGCTCAACTGTTCTTGGTTCGTTTTGTTTCAGCCCAAAGTACATTGATGGACATTGCTAGGAGCTCAACGCACACAATTTTAGCAGCATGCGAGCTTGAGCACAAAAGCAACGAGGTTGTGGCAGTGCCCGTGCCCCCACCACCCATCTGCGGCCACATTGAATTACTGGGGGGTAGCAAAGCAAGTCTAATGAGAGGCCGCTGCTCGTCGTGTTTCGATTCTTTTGTAGGGGAGGTAGTGAAGAAGATCCTGGACACAAAATTGTCAGAACGATGGTTGAGTTTAGGTCTTTAGGAATTGATGCATAAGGTGTCTTATTTGGACACCTCTTTTTGTTAGGGTTTTAGACAAGAATTTCATTAACTTGTTTATAGAAGTGGTTCCACTGACATTGGATACTGAAGTCTCTGTTCTTATTTGATCAAGGTACCATAATTGTTTAGATAGCAGAATTCATATAAGTTTTCTTTTAACTCCTTGAATCTAATAACCATCTTTCTCTTCCAGCCTGCCTTGTCATTTACATATTTCTTTATTCAAGTGAATTATTTGATGCCCAAATCAGAGATGTTGCCCTCTAGATTTTTCCCCAAACTTTTTTAGAAGTTGTTGTTTCTTTGGAGAATTTCTAGTATATGTGGTATTAAAAAATGACCGTGATATAACACAGAATTTGTTTAGTGCTGCCTGAATTTGGCGTATACGTTCTTATCATATAAGCTGAGACAAAAGTTGATTAATGATCACTTAAAATTTAGTTTAAGATGGCGTATTAAGACCGAAATTTTTATAATTTGTCGCCAAACCAGGTCAATAACTGTATTATTGATGAACAAAAACGCCACGAGAAAACCTTTAACAAGCAAGAACATTTACGCACCCCTTAGTTTAACCAAATTTGGCCTAATCACACAATAATTGAGTCCTGGAATGTTTTGCCCAAATAGGTTGCTTCTGTTTTTGCGAATTAACCTCTGCACAATCCATAAACAGCCCAAGATATTTTCACAGACAAAATATGATAACATCTGAAATATGTAAATGCAGATACGTCTACGTTGAGGAATTATTTTTCTTCTTTTTTACTAAATAATGAACTGAAATAACACATGATACGGTAGTGTTATGTTCACGCCTAGAAACTAAAGTTCACATGCCACATAAATTACACTCATCCCTAGAACTTATTCCACACTCTTGTGTTTTACACACATTGGCATACACGCTACAAGCAGATCATAGACTGTAGCACACTTGGCTGTGAAGTTCCATACTTCCAGTCCAGTACTACTGGATCAGCCGTTACGAACTTCCTAACCCGTCGCTAAGAATGGTGGACAACAACAGCCCGTGAACAAATTCACATCTTTTTGTCTTCTCTTCCTTATCCTTGACTGAGAGAGGAGGTGACAGGACATGTCTGTATCCAAAGAAAAACCCAGTTGTCAGACCACACTCTTATAGTTATTATCACAAGTATTACTTTCTAGCAAAGCAGTCCCAGGAAATTTGGACAAACCAGAAATTTTATGAATTTTGATGTTAAAACAATTAATGGTTGTCAATAGGAACTAACCAATTAATAGTTGTTTCTTCACAGCATTAATATGCCCTCAACATATTGTAGATTTAGAACTGCAAAGTCTTTTATCTGATTTTGGTGAGAACGTTTTACAAAATATCCTGAGGGCTGACGTAGGGCTTTTTTTTTTTTTTAACGTCTCCAAGTCAAAAGTAACAAAGGGGAAATAACAGCATTTTCCTGCCTTATTTTTCCTCAACTATAAATCAGAGAAGCTGCTTATGAGATCCATAATCAACATCGAGTCCACTAAATACATATTAGGAAACCATACTAGGAATATATATATATATAGAAGAATAGGTAACGACATACCGCTCTGATACATTCTCAGCCGAGCTTTTCTTGGTAGTGCTTGTTTCCGTTGAAAAGGGAGGCTGGACACCAACAAAATCATCAGCCATGGGCAAGATAAATGATGATAACAATGGATCGGCTGCAACATTGGATGAGGACACTATACAAGATGAACCCCCAAAAAGGGATTGCAAATTTCCTTCCCTAAGTTCTTTCCTTAACAAAGATAGTGTTGTTGAATGAGAACCACCTTTTCGCGACTTCCTTTTGCGCTGCATGTAAGTATCGGTTAAGGAATTCACAGTACTAAGTCAATTAATTGCATGAGCACCCTTTAGTACAAAAATAGTACTTCCATAGTTACCGAAGGCCAAATGGAAAGCTGTTGATCTGTACACTGACTAAAAGGCACAAGAAAAAGGTTTTCAGAAGGTTTCTGATACTTTCAAAGCAAAGTCTTCTTTCAAGAAAAGTTCACTAATTTTCACAGATGAACTACGTAAGATTACTTTTCAAAGTCTCCTACTAGTAGATTAGTTAGTAGATATGCTAAATACGACATAAGAGAGTGGAGATTACAAATATATAAAGTAAAGAGGAGGCTACGATGAGAAATAAAATAATATTTCCTGCCTTCAAAAAGCGTCATATTAAAAAATCTTCTTGTTCACAAATTTTGCAAACTATACACGATAATCCAGTTTTGCATACTTTTCTAATTACATAAAACTTGTCATCAAGAAAATGGCAGTCGATTTTCTACCGAAAATTAAGGTACATAAGTAGTAAAAGCTTCATTTGGCACAAAAATATAACAAAATTTTCAGTAATGGAAAGGAAGTCAGAAGGATATCTTGAAAATGTTGCCATGTTGTAGAGTTATGTGCGCTACCATATCTACCCCCACCCTCATTGCACAAACCGGACATACCTGCAGGTAAACATCATGACATTGAGTATCACTAAGTTCCAACTAGCACAAACTAAACAAAAGGAAATGAAACGAAAAAAAAAAAAGATATAAAATATGAGAACAAAAGCACGAGTTACTAGCTCAATAAAAGTAGCATCTACATTTCAACTAAGTCAAGCTACGCTTTTGTTATCGTTGTTTCACAACTCGAATGAAAAAGATCAAAACTTTTTTTTTTCATAGGCATCCTCACAGACCTAGAAAAGATACATAATACAAAAGAATCCTTATAATAACCTTATGTCAGAACCCAAAAGAATGTTTATTTGCTCAACAGACTACTAACGAACATAAACAATGGTCGTACCCCATTCTTTGCCTCAACTGGATGCTCTTCATCAATATGGCAGCACAATCCAACAATATCAAAATATTCCGAGCAGAACGGGCATGGAAACTCCTCCCTTATATCGTCATCCCCATCTATTTCTTCAAACCCCATAAACATATCTGCATTCGTTAATTCATCTCAGTAAGTGGAAACTAGCAAAATCATATTCATATTCAAAATCTCAACTAAATCTAAAAAACTTAAGACACCAAAGGAAATAGCAGAACAAATCGTTCAAAAAATATCAGATTCTATCTTATGGAACACAAAAATTCCAAAAAAAAATAAATAAATGAACACCGAAAAGGAAACAACTTCAGTTCAGTATCGAGCTTTAATTTGCGGAATCAAAAGCTGGATATATAAGAGATTGAATCTTGATTTTCAGTAATTAAGTTGAATAAAGCTAAACGAATTAAAAAAGGAAAGAGAACTTGTTTAATCCAAAAGCTCGCATTAGCCTGAGTAAGCGAGCTGTAATATACTACACAAAATGAATCGCATCAAAGACCAACTATTTATTTTCTCAGCTACCAAACAAACAAACAACCATCACGAAAAAGGGAATTAAAGAAGCCAATTGAGCTGACCAGATCGCGATTGAAGAGCCGATTGATAACGCTTAGATGCGGAAGAGAGACGAGCGCTCCAGGAATCACCGTCCATAACTAATTCTTCGAAATGCGAAGACCGAATTGGGGGGAGATTTCTCCGAGGGCGATTCACCAGATTCCGACAATCTCAGATTCCGAAAACCCTAACGACAATTTGGGGATGAAGTGCAGAACGCGAAGGGAAGGAGGGAGAAGAATTGGGGCCTAGGGTTTGAGCTGGAAGGGGGCTTAGCTAGATGACGAGGAAGACGATGATGATAATGGCGAATTACACCCAACAAAAGCAGAGAAAATTTTAATAATAAATCTTCTCTCTGTATAAATATATGAATAAATAAATTGCAGAAATAATAATTATTTTATTTTTCTTTGGGAATTTTGTTGGGACCCGGAATGCAGGGTGAATATCATAAGCGTCCAAGATGAACAGTAAAGACACAAACAGCTTGTTAAGACGAGCACATGTTGTATGATTAACATCATTTTGGTAAATTACACCCTTTTTCTTCTTTTTTTGTTTTGCTAATCAGGTAAATTATAGTTAAATACGCTATTATGGTTAATTTAAGTTTTCTTCATTTTTTTTAAAAATGTTGAAAATTACGAAGATTTTTGCTGATAGAAATTAAAATTAGTTTGTTTAATCTATTTTTTTATTATTAGCAAGTGATATAAAGTAAATGGGCCCTGATTGAAAATTAAAAATTTTAAACAAAAAAAAAAAAAAAAAAACTAACAACACTTAAAAAAAAAAAACAATAAATAAATAAGTTGACAATAGTTCCGACCTCGTTCATTTCGCGGATTCGAGTTTTCAATTCGAGTTGAGATGTGACATTTTCTGAGAACTTTCTACTATAAAAACCTAAAACTGAAAACTCGAATCCGTGAAATGAACGAGGCCACTTTTAAATTTTGAAACGTGTGTGAAAATACCCTTTTAATAGTGTCAATTTCTTTGATGGAATTGCTGGCATAGCGTCCAAAATAACAATATCAAATCTAAATTTATATATATATATATATATATATGTAACGGAGCTATATATATATATATATATATATTTCAAGGAAGCGTGATTAAATCTAAATTTTGAATTGAAGTTATAATATAATAATTTTTTACTTTAACTTATCTATTTGTATTATTTTTCATTTTAAATAAAATAAGCTTGTAATAGAGTTTATTTTTAAAATTAATATTTAGGGTATGGAGGGAGAGATAATGAAAGGAGACTCTCTCTACTTAGACCTATTATTTTGCATCCCTCCTCTAATGTAAGGATTCGTACAATCTACATATTAAAGATTTAAAAGGACCATTTTATTATTAAAAAGTTTAGTATGAAATTAGTAAAAAAGACAAAAAAGTAATTAAATAAACATTTATTTGTCCATTTTTTTTAACTATTTATCCCCTCTACCAAACAACACAAAGAATTATCACAGTCCTCTCCATCCCTCCAACTTTCTCCATCCCTCCTCCTCTCGACCCCTCTTACCAAACGGAGTCTTAAAGTTTGAGTTAATCACACAAATGGTTCCTAAAGTTAATTTGGTTCCCTTTTAAAATGTCTCACAATTGGCCGCTAATTTAATCCTTCCATTAATCAGGTGTTAAATATTTGACGAAATTTTATATAAATAAAGAACTAAATAGGAAACATATAAAATTTAGTTTTATTTTTTGTATTATTTTAGTCTTTAAATTTTAAATGATTCTAAATTTGGTTCTTAATTTTCACATATTCCTTCAAATAGTACTACTTAATTATTGGAATGATCAAAACCGAAATAATAGATTTGCGATTAACTGTGAAATATTTTAAAAATCAATAATCAAAATGGAATTGAGAGTAATTTCGAGAATTATTTATGGGATTAACCTTAAAATTTAGAGTCTAAAAACTTGCTACTTTATATGGTAGTATAGTTGATTTTTGGTCAATGTGATACATAAGTTTGAGATAAGAATAAACTAAAAAAAATCAAAACTCAAAGTAGAAGTGAAATTTTCTATAAAAACAAAAAACAAAAAACAAAAAAAAAACACTATGGATAAGTAAGACTAAAAAAATTAGGGGGTTGGGCAAAGTTTTAAAAGGAGCTACCACGGTCAGTCTGTTGGGGATGAAGTGGATAGCACCGGACTAGCCTAATGTTTGAACTAAAGTACGTGGATGACAAAGAGGACAATATTGATAATGGCAAATGGGTAATGGTAGAGACCAACTTAAATACTAATTCTTATTTACAAACTCATATAATATGTGAATTATTATTTTTTTATTAGTAGATATAATTTTTTATTATTAATTGATGTGATAATATTTTAAATACTTATTAATACATAAAAATTTAAATTTGAATTGGTGTTCTTAACAATAGCTTATTCACGGTGAATTGTAAAAAATAAAAAAGAGAGAGAAAATTAATGATGCCTCGTCTCTCCATAAGTTGATTTTTTTACGAAAATAATAATTATTTCATTTTTTTGAAATTTTATAGAGAGCCTGAAATGTGCAGTGAGTAGTAATATCCAGATGAATAGTAAAGAGTAAAGAATATAGAGCTTCTTTCTTTCTTTTTTTTTTTTTTTTGGGTAAAACATGCACGTACATATCTTAGCATTGTTCAGAATAGATGAAGGTCTCGTTCATTTTACCGATTTAAGTTTTCAGTTCTAGATTTTTAGAGTTAAAAACTCTCAAAAAATGTCACATATAATTTTTTTTACTATAGTTAAAAACTTTCAAAAAATATCACATCTCAGCTCGAATTGAAAATTTAAATTCACGAAGCGAACGAGACCGAAAAATTGTTGCACTAGCCTTGATCTTCACTTTTTGAGTTGTCAATTCGGTGTTAGGCCAAAATTATTAGTGGTTCAAAAATTCAAAAAAATATCATAAATACGACTCAAAATGATAAAAAAAAATATTATTTATATCACTTTATTTAAAAATAAACAATTATTATTTAATTAATTAAATAAAAAAAAGTACAATAACAACCAATTATTTTGAATGATATTATAAACATTTATCCACAAAACCATGACAAATCATATACTTTTTTCTTCAAAAATGATCACGATTCAGTTGAACCGGACTATATCCATTAGATATACACATGTGCTTTACCAATGAATCACATGTGTTTTGTGTATTTAGAATTCAAAACACACACATAAATGTGTGTATTATGGTTTTACACATGTTAAAAACATCTAAAAAGCAATAATTATTTTTAAAGAAAATTGTTTGACTTATCTTTGAGTGTGTTGTTATGGGTTATTATCATTTACTCTTAATTAACACTCTTTGACCAATATACTTATGTTGACCAGCTTTTAAAATGATTAGGGAAGACGTTTGGTTGATGAATTTAGAATCATGATTTAAAATTATTCTTGATTTACGTGTGTTTTTTGAGAGAAAAAATATTGTAACGAGCTACAAATCATGATTCAAACAATAGCACGAATTCTTGAACTAAACACAATAGATAACGTCATGAAACAATAAACTTTTGCCCCGTTCATTTTACCAATTTAAGTTTAGAATTTGAGTTTTGTTACAGTAAAAAGCTCTCAGAAATAGTCACATTTAATTTTTTTACTACAGTAAAAAACTCTCATATAAAATCACATCTCAACTCGAATTAAAAACTCGAATCAACGAATTAAACGGGACTTTTAACTCTTTTTCGATAACCTCTCCCTATCTATCTCATCTATCCTTCTCTCTCATCCCTGTCCCAGTAATCTCTCTCTCCACCCATTTTACGCGTCTTTCTCCCCTGCACGCCGCTTTCTTTACGCCTGGGTCGCTTGTGCTCTTTCCTCATGTTGGCCCTCATTCTCTCTCCTCTTGTGCAAACCTACACAGATCACTCTACGCCATTGCAACTGCGAAGATCACTATTGAAAGATCCTCAACAACCACGAAGATTGTACCCCTTCCGCCATTGACCTGAGAGTTCCAATATTTTTCTAGTTGAAAATAAAAAGAAAACATAATTTAGTGAATTATGAAAAGTAATATACTAAATTCCTCTCCAATAACCGATGCCAGTAATTAGATACGGTCAATCATTTGACAGATTATGAAAAATAATTTACCAAATTTCTCTTGCGATTGTTGATCGGTGATCAACTCCGATGTATGAAGATTGTCTTTTAGCAACATATAGTAACTTATCAGAGGTAATCTTATAAATCACCTTTTTGACCATCGGAGGTAATTTCTGTAAACCATACCTTTGGATCTTTGACTAGCTTTGATTCAGAAGGGCATAATTTTTGTTATGAATAGTGTCTCCAAAGTATGATTTGTAATAAGGATGTTTAATTATTTAATTAATAAAATAATTTATTTATTATTTATGTACATATATTATTGAATACTTTATAAATATCATTGAAAATTTTACGATTATTTATGTGATCTTAAATATTGTATATAAGTGTTATATACAAGAGAATAATATTAAGGATAAAATCGAAATAATGTCGTAATGAATTTAATTAAAGTTACGAAATTTTTAACCAAAACATTATTGATACATGTCATTCCCATTAAGAATGAAATAATGTTATCTGTATCATTAATATAGAGGGATATTGAATGAGTATATTATGAATAATGAGATTATGTAGAACTAGGACACAAACACAATTTGATTTTCTGATAATTTCTGTTAAGTATAGAAAATGATCTTAATCTTAAGTTATAAGTAGACTCTTATTTATGGATTCATGTTTTTTTATTTACTCGGTACGGATTTTGAGATCTTAAATCTTATTCATTATATCTTGGAATGGATAACCGAAAATGCTAATATACGAGATGAAATTCATTCATTTTTCTTTAAAGAAGTAGAAAAATAATTCTCTTAAGGGTTGATTCGGTACTTGAATAAGAAACGAGCCTGTATTCATGAATGAGTTTTATGAATATATTATTCATTAGAGAATCAATAGTACTCAAGGATAAAGATGTAATTAGAGAGGTTAATGGATGTTACTTAGCTCTGATTATGAATTATTTATGGAGGATCAATCTATATGTAGTGACTATATCAAATGGACACTTCAAGTTCTTAGAAGTAAATAAATGTTTATAATTTTGAGAATGCAATTCTAAGTTTTTAGTAGAGAAACTTTTGGAATTAATATAATTAATTAATTAGTTAAAGAGCTCAATTAATTATTAATTTTAGTAGAGGTCAGAATTATAGGTCCATGAGTCCCCGTGTTATCGTTGTAATATTTACAAGACAAGATGAATTTTTGAGATTTAATATTACTCGAAATAA